TGCAAAGCAGGCCACAGTTCTCTACGAACCGACCTCCACCGCCGTTTATAACCAATCCACCGCCATTCGTTCAGAGTCAGCCACGATTTCCTCCTCATCAACCAGTACGTCCACCAGTACAAAGTCATCCCCCCTTCATGGCGAATCCGCCACCACAGATGCCTGCTGTTCCTCCTTTCGTTCAAAATCATCAGAATCCACCACCGCCTCCCCTACCGACCGTGGAGAACGCTACGCAAGATATTTCCGACATCCCGGAACCCACTGAGAAACGAACCGACCCAAGCATTCCTCTGCCCGACGATCTGCAAGAGGCTCTGAACATCATCTTTCCGAAGGAGGAGACGGAAACGAAACAACAGAGTCAACAAGAAAGTAACATTATGTATTCGTCTATGTATAGTATGTTAGGATGTGTTGGATATGGGCCAGAATACATGGATCAACCACCGCCTGAAATTACTCAGGCGGAAACAGAAGTAGATACACAACCTGGACCAGACGACTTGAAGATGTTAGGAATTGACGAAGGAGATACAATCCTATGAAACTTTTTATAAATTCACAATGTTCTCCAACTCGCGAATGTTTTTTTGATAAGGATCTAGCATTAAACTCTAAGTCAACACTTTAACACTTTAACTGTGTACCCCTCCCCCTTTTCTCCAAAACGATTGTTAATTGTAAATTGCTGCATAAACTTTTTGGTGTAAAATTTATATGTTAACGTCGAATATTATATATCGAGTAGGCTAGTATCTTAAATAGGAAATAGTAAATGTTTCTCATTTATACGTCAGCAATCGATCAGTTGATACTGGGACATCGGAGCTTGCGAAATATTTACTATTTTTTATTAATTATACTGTTCTCATTTAATTTCGACTGAAGATGTTTCAAGATTCTTATGAATTTTGTAAAAACAGAATCATTACAGTGTCATACAATTATTTTTTATTAACACACACATACACCTATATACCTTAGGTATATATATATATACTTAAATTTCTGTACGAGTATTAAAAACACCACTTTAGATATGTAAGTAATCAGTCTTTTTAGTTCTCTAAAACAGATTTGGATGTTATTGAAAGCAGCATAAATACTGTGTTTAGAAAATGAATAAAATGTACATTTGATTTATGAATAATATTCCATTAATAAATGACAAAATTATATGAAGCAAGAGTTAATGTCGTAAAGTTAAGGGATGAACGAAGAAAGATGAACACGACCAGTTTTTCGTTGCATTCAGCTATGCTTTGTTTATTTTTTTCTTTGAATTTTGTTGTTTTCTCACTTGAAAATTATTTTGTAGGTTCTTTTAAACGCTATATCACATTACTCGACCCTGAAGCGCACAACCCTCCATATAATATATAATTTAATGGCATGATTTCGCTAGTAATGCTAAATATAGGTATTGCATGGCACCATACATAGCATGAATTATATATATCAGATATAAGTAACATGCCTAAAGTTGCTATGCAGTATTGTCATACTTCTTCAAATGTCACTTAATTTAATAGTCGTTTTGAGACGCAACAATATTTTTACTACATCACAATGAAACGATTAGTAACAGACTTCAAACTATTATACATGTACAGGGCACGAAAATGACCGTGATCAACTAGCTTAAATTTTAAAACTTAATGACATATCTCATGCATGAAATAAAATAACACTTCCTTTTTATGATATTTATTATACTTTCTTTTTT